GATATAAAGCAGCCAAGACAGTTGTTCTTCTTTCGTCAATCAAAATTAGTCTAGTTGATAAGAAATTAACTCATTACTTTTATCGTCGTGAAAAAATTATGTTCAATCTTGATTTGTTTCTGACTTTCTTTGGAGAAATTGAAGTAGAAAATGTCATTGGATGCTCAATTTAGTTCCCTTTAATGCGCTAATGATCTTTTTTTTTTTTTTGGGACACGGCAGTCGCTTAGATATTAGAAGCATTGCACTATGATCTTTTTATCCAATTATATATATATATTTTATTTTCTATTTAAAAAAGCACTCCTTTTACCTTAAATACAAAACCCACTACAAAATAAATCTTATATTTATGACCGAAAGAGTAATTAAAAGCTGATAAATCTATAAGGGTGGAATTAAAAAAAAAAAAAAACCCGTGTGATGATGCTTCGATTCGCTGCTGCCCTGCCAGCTTCCTCGTTACTGCTTCAACTGTGATTTCTGTGACTAAAATCAAGGTAATATTTGCATATTTTATTTTATTTTTCATACTCTTTTTTCTATCTTTTCCTTTTACTTTATTAATGAATTATTATGAGTCTCTAATTCTCATTAGAGTCGTTTTACTTTTAGGGAAAATGACATAAAAAAGAGTTGAAAATTACAATATTTTAATTCAGGTATCTAAAAAGTCAAAATTTCAAAAGAGGAAGTAATGCTCGATCTGATATTTTACAAATGTAGTTAAATGACTAAAATGTCCTTGTATCATATTTTTTTAAAAAAAACTACCAAACTTGTCATTGCCAGTACATTTCTTGTCATTTACTATTCAACACTTGTTATTGTCAATTGACAACTTCTTAATAAAACTTTTTGTACAAGGACATTTTTGTTATTTAACTATATTTACAAAATACCATATCAAACATTACTTTCCTTCCCTATGATTTTAACTTCTTAAGTGTTTGAATTGAAATATTGCGATTTCCAATTTCTTTTTATGTGATTTTTTTTATTACTCTTTTATCTATTCTGATTCTCATTTATTTATCTTCTAAGTGGTAGAGTAGTCCATCTCCGCGAGATTGATGACTTCCCAAGAATCTGATTTACTGGATTTAGTCTTCAGCTTATGGATTTATGGATTATAGATTCATACATTAATTGAAAAAAAAAACAAAAATATATATACTCTTTCAGTTCTTAATATAAAAACTAATTAACTAATTTAAGTAGATTAAAAATATTAATTAAATTAGTTAATATGATTTCTTTTAATTCCCTCGCTACTCTTCTACTTGATTATTATTAAAGGAATATCAATGGGTTAATTTTAAAAAAAAAGTTGATGAATATCAAAAATAGATTTTATATATAGGCCAACATCAACTCTTTAAGTAGGTTTTATATTAGGGACAGAAAGAGTATACGTATCTGCTACCATCTATTGAGTTTTTTTCTCTCTACAAATGTTTTCTTCACTTTTTCCTTTCTGATGTCATGTCCTAACACAAATTTGTTCAGGTACGCAAATATCAAGCAATGATGGTGGATGAAGCTAATACGATTTCATGACTAATTGGGAGGCTTTTTGTGTTGTAATCCTTTTTAGCTTTTAATTTGATAATTTGATAATGCAATGTCTTAGGCACTAGGCAGATCCCACGGAGAGCAGAAAACAATTTGCCTGTATATCTGCAAACGGAAGAATCTTTAATAAGATATTAATCTTTTCTTCTTCTTTTTTTTCAACTACTATTGAATTAAAATTGTTAGATCTAATTTTTAATGGAATTATTATTAAAATTTTACATAAAAATATAAATAAATTTGAAATGTTAAAATTAATCTAAATAGTTCGCAATCATAACCATTAACAAAATATTTCATAAAGTAGATTCTTTTGTATTCTTTTTCCTACAGTCAGATCAAATTGTATCATTATTTTATTTTCACATATTTTTAGGGATATTATACATATATTGAATTATCATGTATAATCTTCATGTAAAGTAAAGTATTCAAAGTATAATTATTTTTCCCCAAGATTATCATTTACGTAAGTGCAGTTTGTTTTCTCTGGGGATTTTATATTTAAATAAACAATGAGCAGGTAATGACCAAACATAAAGATTTTTTTTATAAGCATGTATTTATTCTCTCGCAACACGAAGTAACGCATTATTTATTCTCAAGTAACAAGACGTTGACTTGATACATTTTTCAATAAATTAAATTAAAAGCTTTTACATGCATAATAATATTTTTTATTTTGTTCTGTTTGTCAGGTGGGTTGACTTTAAGCAGCTTGGCAGTGCCAAGTCGTCATACGCTTCACCGCGTATCTTAAATTCCTTTGAATTCACCCATTTTATAAAAAGACTGCCTCCTCCAATTTTTAATATAAAAATTTGTTTGATTTTTTATTTTAATATTAAATATAAGATCTCAATTTATTTTTTTTATATTTATTTTTTTAAGGTAGTTATTATAATAATAATAATAATAATAATAATAATAGTTTTAGCCAATACATTTCATTAGCAAAAATATTTTAAGAAATACAATTCTTATTTATTACAAATAACTAAGATAACTAATTTTTTTAATCTACTCAAATTAGTCAACTAGTTCTTATATTAAAATTCAAAAGTAGTATGGTACATCACAAGGTTAATCATAAAAGATAAATGTAACATAGCTCTTGGGAGAATTCGAATATTGATTTGTCACAATGTCAGCAGCTAATTTTTTTGCCACACCCAACTTTTTTTGGGTGTCTTTCATCTAATTTCATTAAAAAGAATTTGCACCACTTATTTTGATAAGTTACTACAAACTAGATCTTATATTTAAGATCGAAGATAGTACATAAAATGACAGTATGAAAAATGAATTTAAAAATAAATAATACTCCTTTGTTCCTAAATACAGGGGTGAGTTAGTACTACTTCCGGTCCTAATTATAAGACTTCGTTTATAGACCTAATAATTAGGATCGGAGGTAGTATATTTGTTTTTTTCTTTTAAATTGAAGACTCTCAATTTATTTTGTCTCTCAAATTTATATTCTTTATGATTCTTATCAAGAGCTAACCAGCTAATTTGAAAATATTAAAAAATTAGTTAAATTAGTTATTTATAATAAATATGATAGTTTTTTTACAATACTCTTTCAAATTATGTGCGCTTAACTATGCATTGATGGAAACATCTTTATAATGTGCAATCAATGAAGATAATATAGAAAAAAAATTATAAATTGAAGAGATAAAATATATTAAAATCTTATATTTAAATTCAAAGCAAACCACTTATCTGGTTTTAGGTCCAAAAGTAGAAGTAATTTTTTTTTTTTTTACCGAGCTATCCCTATTAATGCATGCGAAAAAAAGGATTCCTGTCAATGAAGTGATAATTAAAGGGTTGTTTCAGAAGAATCAATATACATCTATTACAAATAATTTTTTTACCATGGACATCTGTCACAAATAATTAGTTTAATTAATTTTCTTAATATTTATATATTACTTATTTAAGTCCTATATTTAGTATAGGAGGAAGTAAAATGAAGGAATAACATATTAACATTTGAGTGCTAAAAGGGCAAATTACTAACAATTAGGATAAAAAAACTTTTAGTTGTAAATATCAATTGATACCGTTGTAAACGGGGATCCAAGTTACAAATTGAGAATTATGTTTTAAATTTGAATGTTTTATTTGTAGTTGACACTCCTAAATTCATAATTATTTTAATCGTTATTTCAAACTCAGTTTTCACAAAAATTTATCAGGACTAACTGTCATTAATTAATATCCTCGTTGAACATGTAACTGATATTCTCCCTAATAAAAAATCTTTTGGACAAAATCAAACTGAAACTCACCAACTACACCGAATGAATATATTGCCACCAAAATATATTGTATGTTATAGTTGGGGGAAAATAAAAAAATATTTATTCTCCTAACTATGAAACCACCAATTATTGCCAAGGTCAGAAAAAAGAAACCACCAATTATTGCATTGCTTAAGGCTGAGTGGTGGTCATTTTTAAATAAGACTTAATAAATTAATTAATCATTTATTGGAATTTATTATTTTTCTATATTTAAAATTATTAACAATATTGTCTCCCCATAATAGATTATCTCCCCCCCCCCAAAAAAGAGTTATTTCTTTTAATTTGAAATTCATGGAATGAATTGAAATGAAAATAATAAAACACTTGAAGCTTGAGACTAATTAAGTTACCTAATCAAAGGAAGGCACTTTCTTTTAATTTCCAAAGATAGTTTCACTTTTGGGATTCAATTATACAACTTCTTTTGATCAGATAACGAAAACTTTAATGCCTGTTTCTTTGGTCTCTTGCTTTTTCTTAATATAAAAAGACAAACCAAAAAAACAGAGCATGATTGATTAATGGAACCAGGGTGGCAAGCAATTTGGTTCCTTTTCCTTATAAATTGTCTTTGTTAAAATTTTCATATTTTAACCAAATCCATAATGAAAGATGAAAAATACAGATACAACCAATTTGCATACAACATCAAAGGGTGACAAAAACATAAATTCAATATCATAATAAAATGTGACCATATCTACTTCTTTGGATTCTAAATGTAGGAGTTGGTTGGGAAGTTTGTTTGGTTTTAAATATTAGACTCAATTCTGTCTATTACATTTATATTTTTTTAAAATTATTTTTATTGATTACATATATAATTTCTTTCAATGGAGGCAATTTCAATGTAAAAAATTAAAAGGGTATTTCACAAAAACTGACATATATTTTTTTATAAATAACTAATTTAACTAATTTTTTTAAGATCTTTAAATTAGTTACATGCTAGATTGGAGGCAGTAATTCATATCTTTTTTTTTAATTTTACAATCTGTAAAATTAGAAAAATATAAATAGAGCAGTGAATTCCATTTGACGTCTAGAAAATTACTTGAGAACTCTCTTCTTGTTTGTGGCTGAACAATTTTCAAATAAATAGTTCCAATTTCTTAGAACATAGTTCTAAGCAATCTTGCTCATCTTGAAGTAAAAGATTAACAAGCCCTCTTATTGCAGAAATAAAAACAAGAAAGGTGCTCATTTCTGTGCGCTTGAATTCAACTACATACTCTTCTAGAACAAACTAGCAATTTACATGAAACTTCTAATCAAAAACAGGAATTACCTTATGAAGATGGTGAAGGAATCAGATTGAACTATACATTCAGAGATTGTTGAAACCTTTTTTCCCTGTTCACAAACCATTGAACTGTTCTTTTGGCAATTGGCAGCCAAATCTGTCTCACTCGTTCCTCTTTCACATTGTTCTGATCAACCAAAGATGAATAAGAACCTTTATTAAGGGTCCCATTTTTCATGCCCAAAGCTTCAAATCTAGAGACGGCAGTTATATCTGATACTGATCTTTTCTCATCTGGATTCATATACTTTGATGTTGCACTCAATTTTCCTGCAGAATCTGAACCAGAATTTAGATTGTTGTTGTTCTTTAGTCCATTCCTCACTTTGTTTTCAAATGAAACCTTCCTCTCCATCTCCTCCTTGAGATTCATAGGCTGCTCATTTCCTGATTCTCCTTGAGATTCAGAACTGTTGAATCTTACACTTGAAGTAGAACCAATCATCTCTGAGTTCAAGAACATGAGGTCTGAGGAACTCACGTTGCTCCATCGATTCTTCAAAACAAAATCTGATACAGTAATCCTGTGTTTGAGTTTGTGATAGACCTTTCTGTGATCATCATCATCATGAGCTGGCTTTTGAATAGGTAATTCTTCTTCTTTTGAAGAACCCTTCAGGATTCTCCTAAAGCTGCTTCCAAAATTGATTCTTGATGATGACCCATTTTGTTCTTCTTCTTCTTCTCTCTGAACAAAAAGCCCTACATTGGATTCTTCTCCCAATTCTGCTGGGCCGCCATTGATGAGCAGTCTCAAGCTGTTAGAATATGTGAAAATGGTTTGATCTTCAGGATCAACCCTGTGTCTACAAAGAGGACAACTAGAATGATTCTCAAGCCAATTATCAATACAATTAATGTGAAAAGCATGTTTACACTTTGGAAGCAGCCTGAGAATCTCAACATCTTCAAACTTGGACAAGCAAACAGCACATTCAAGGCCTTCTTTTGATCCTTTTAAGGAGGAGAATCTGAAGAAGGGAAGTGATTCTATGACAGTCTTGTCGATTCCTGAGAATCTTGTTGACCTTGTTCTGATAAGCCAAGGTTGACTTTCTGGGTTGCCATGAACTGATGAAGCTCCTCTGGTACAGCACTTGGCATACATGAGGAGAGAGAATGTTAGAACAAACATGAAACTGAGAATCCCAATGACAACAGCAAGACTTGGTCGGAAATTTGACACAGCATCTTGTGAAGGAGCACTATTTGAAACCTGTGCTTCACAGGAAAATCTGAAGAATATCAGATACAGAACCAAAAGATGAAAACCCAGATGGTTCATGATTCTGCAGAAACCAGAAAAAGGAACAAAAATTCTGATCTCGTGCTTTGAAAGCTTCCAAATTTATGACGGGGTTGGTGTGCATGGACTTCTTATTTTTTTAAGGTTATTTCCCCAAATAATGACTTCTTTTCTTGCGTCAGCTTTTTTCTTTTTGGGGTTTCTTCTTTGGCTGCTCTTTTGATCTTTAGAAGTATTAATATATTTCGTTTAAGAACAGGCTAGTGATGACCAGATGGAGAATAATGCTTCTATTTAGAAAAGAATAACAAATGACATAACCCCATTGCCAAGTTTTATCCTGACGCAAATTTTTAATGTTATTTCAACTCCACAGACATGAAAGATTAGGCTAATTTCTTTATCTTATCTTACCTTCATACAAATATTATTTTAAACTCAGCCATCCAACTCACAAATTTTCCACCTTGATTTAACTTGCTGTTGAACTTTTTATCTTGTTTTACTTCAGCATTTTTGGGGAAATGAATAAGACAACCGTCCGATACAGAAGTAGGCCCCACATGTTAGATCACATTAGGATTTTTAAGGTACATTTTTCCTCATAATCCATTGGCCCAAATGAGAACTTTTTTTGCAAATGGGAAATTTTGGGTTTGATCTCGCTTATAAATTAGTGTTTGCCCTTTTAATTTAAGGGGGGAAAATTTCCTTGCATCATTTGAAATTATTTCAAGAGGTTTTTTTTTTTCTTTACAGAAAACAGGAAAAATAATACTAGGTAACTATGAACTTTTTTCCTCCAAAAAGGAAAAGGGGTTTGATTGGTGATTAAAAATGTCAAAGGTAGTTTGGTAATGGCTGCTTTTGCAGCTGATCTTGATGATGAAACGTATAACTTTAAGTTGCCATCTGTCAGAATGTGTTGGATTTGAATAGGGGGATTTCTTTTTTCCTTTTTTGTGGAATTAACATTATCTCATGATTATTTTTAAAATGTAACCATGCTTCTCAGCAGCCTGTTAAATTAATGCTGTTTTAAGCCAAGTGGCAAATGTAATTTAACAGATAGTGTTTTTCCCCCCTATTTTGGTCCCCCAAATTAAACTATTTTTTATGAGAAGTTAATTACTTCATATAATCTTTATTATAAAATATTTCCAACATTTTCAGGCATCTCAAAAAAATTATTATGTGATTAAAGTTTCTAAAAAAAAACATAAGATTCTACTTCCACCCTTATGATTAAAAGGATGTAAAACCTTTGCTCACAATTTATCATAGTACTCCTCTTGTCTTATTTATAGGCAGAAAAAGAAGGTTTTTTTGTCTTATTTATAAGTCACTTTATTAAATTTTTATCGTGAATATAGTATTTTGTCCTTCATTTATTATAATTAGTAGTTATCTCTTTTGAAATATGTATATATTAAATATAAGTAAAGTTAGAAAATTGCTATATTTTAATGAAGAGTTAATGCATTTTAAAATTTTTCTTAATCTGTGTGAAATATGCTGAAAGTACTTTATAAATAGGACCAAATAAGTATTAAAACTCAATTTAGATGGACTATCAGTGAACCAATCTTCTCTTTGATCAAGTCAAAAGTTTTAGATGAATTGATTGGGTTGTATTTGACATATTTTTTCCCATTTATTGTACTTGAAACGACATCATTTTGAGTTTAAAAAAATATAGTAGCATGTCAAATTTATCATGCTTTAATAACTCTGTTTTGTTATATTATCAGTCGTTTATACATAAATATTTCATTTACTTATCGATTAATAAGTTTTTATTAAATATTATTCTTTTCACTGTTATATGTGAATATTGTTGTATATTTTAATTATGATGAAATTGATTCTAATTCAATAACAATTAGATCACTAACCTTGAAATATTACATCAATCAATGCAACACGACGAGTCCGGTATCTTATAATTTACAAAATTATTATCCAAATTCTGGAAACAAAAAAAAAATTATTAACATAACATATTATAATTTACATAAAGAGAGTTATTCAGAACCCACCATATATAAAGGATTAGAGGGAGTATATTTAAGTTATAAAATATGTCATATAGACCGAAAGAAAAAGTGGCTCTTAAGTTCACCTTCACCACCATTTATTAACTTCTCTTATTTCCTTACTCATTCACTTTATATTGAATCATACTAACTGCTTTTGGTCCCCTTCTAAAGAATATCATTATTGTTATTATTTAATATTCTATACAACGTATAGTCCCATCCCTAAACCATGATGCTGCCTCTATTCCTTAGTTTTTGCTGCCCCTTGAAGAAAGTTTTGTTTAAAAGTGATAGGAAATTAATTTCTGTGGAATCGGAAATCCAAGTTGATTTTTTCAACTATTATATGCAAACGTGTTGACAAGGACATGTTTGCCATGGTGTTGCCAAACGTAAGGCTGTAATGTTCTTGGAGTTTGGAGCAGGCCAACAAGGATTGTCTTGCATGTTTGGTCAAATCTTAATGATTTTTTTTTCCATCTTCCCACTATGTTTGTTTGACAAATCTAACAATGGACATTGAATAAACAGGTTGAATTATGAGATATTTTTCACGTATAAACTCTGTAAATATAAAATTTTAATTCACTTTATGTAGTATATTTATCATTTTTTGTAAACTAATTTATTTAATTTATAAACTTAATTATATATAATTTAATGTTATATTGGAGAATTTTAGGGAGATCATGTCATAATTGTTAGAAATAAATAATTTACTCAAATTAGTTAAATAGATCTTATATTAAAGACTAGCGTAGCAATTTTTTAAGGACGACTTATTTCATTAATAAAAGATATTAATAACATATCTGAAATTTATAATAGGAAAACTTCATCTTTTGGCCTATATAGTTTTAACCTATTTGTAACTCAGTTTCTAAAGTTTAACTACATGTAACTCAGTTCTTATAGTTTTGACCTAACGTGATTCAATTCTTGAATTTTGACTCACTATATTAACCCATTAAAAATTTAGTCCCTTAGTTTCATAAAATATAAAATATTATTTTTTTAAAATGTAAGGGCTAGATTTTTAAATAGTTAAAATTAACTATATGAATTGAGTAGTAATGAGTCAAAGTTTATTGGGAAAAAAAAAAGAGTAATGGGTTAAAATTCAAGAATTGAGTTACAACAAGTCAAAATTATAAGGGCGGAGTTATATCAAGTTAAAATTTAGGGACTAAGTTATAATCAAACAAAAATTATAAGAACTAAGAGATTTGGCTTGTTTGGTTTCTCATTTTGAAAACAATTTTTTGTTATTAAAAACAGAAAAACAAAAAAATTTGTTTGGTAATTTGTTTTTAGTTGATTGTTTTAAAAAACAAAAAACAATAACATGTTTTTGAAAACCAAAAAACCAAAACAACTTTTACATTTTTTTTTTGTGTTCTTTATTTTTTGTTTTGAAAATTTTTTAGAAATCTTCTTCTCTTCTTACTTACTATTCACCACTTATCATTACGGGCGACAATTATCACCTACCAAATGTGATTTTCTACGATTTTTTTTTTCAAACATGATTTTTTAAACTTATTATCCAAACAAATTCTTTTGTTTTTTTTTAAAAACTGATTCTAAAAAATAATTTTATAAAATTGTTTTAAAAACAAAAAAAACTAGGAAAAAAACAAACAGGCCCTTTAATTTTTCCCTTTTCAATATCATTTTCTATCTTTGCCTTTATTAAATATTGGCAAGTTCCATTCCTTTAATTATCTGAATTTCACATTTTCTTCCCGTCACCCTCCCTCTTTCTACATAAATAAGGGGTGTTTTTTAAAATTAAGTTATATTTTTTATATGTTTATTGTCTTTGACTAATTCAAGCTAATTTTTATGGGAATATAATAGTAACATAATTGAATTGGAATGGATAATTGTTAATTGGAGGGGATAATTATTCCTGGTGAAAGACATCTGTCATGTTTCAGCTGTGTGTTACCCATGAAACCTCACGCCATACTTTTGGGGTAATAATGCAAATTTTGTTGACTTGTATATTTAACATAAATAATTAGATTTTTTATTTATGTTCAGGCCTGAATCCTGGCTGAAAATTTGGGCCAAAACTAATTGAGTATACTGAACCAATTCAAAGAATGGGATGAAGTGTCGTGCAAGAGAACTAGTAAAATTAAAAATAACAAAATATATATTTTAAAAAAAAAGGAGAATTACTATAAAATTTCAAGGGAGAAAAAAAAGATACTTACTACAAAGTCTCATGGCAACGTAGTCGCTGTAATAACAAGTTTTAGTATAAAAAATAATAACATATTTTAGTTACTCATTTATCATTAAGATTTTTTTTGTACTTATTTTATCCAAAAAAGGAACAATGTGTTGTTTTGGGCACCGAACACCGGTTGGACCGAAATTGGTTCAATGTTTGATCCAATTATGATACAGAGCTATAGGCAAAGTACTTCTCCAATATGACTTAATTATTGAGTTGATTTTGGTTCTAAATATCATATCTATGTCTCATATTTATCATTTTTTTCTACATTGTTCTTATGGATACTCCCTTAACCATAATCAAGTAGAAAAAGGAGGGAAGATATTAAGAAAGATGATTATGGTGTTTTAGAAAAAACATGTCATATTTCTTATAATTAACTAACTTACCTAACTTTTTTAATTTAATCAAATTAGTTAAATAGATTTTATATTAAGGACCAATAAAATAGGTAATTGAACGGGATAAATTGGTCACTTTCTTAAATTTTAATTCGACTTTTAAAGCTACAAGTGATCCATATCTATATTAAAAAAGCACGGACAACAAAAAATAATGTAAGAAATATGTGTGTATGCGGCTATTCTAAAATTATAAAATACAAATTACATACATGCATAAATGACGAAGATAATTAAGCATTGTTATATCTATTATTTTTCTTTGGATTTAAATATCTATTTTTATTATGGATGATTACTTTTTTATTTCAAGTATATACTCTTCTGGTCCTATTTATAGAGCAGAGAGAGAAAATATTTTTTGATTATATTTATAAGGCACTGAGAGATTTTTTGTATGAATATATAATTTTACCTTTCATTTATTATTGTGTTGATTTTGTTTACATAAAGTATAATATATATATTAAATAGGGATAAAATTAAAAAATTGTTGAATTTTAAATGAAAGTTAATGAAATTTAAAGTTTCCCTTACTATGTGTGAAACATGTTGAAAATGAGTTATAAATAGGACTAGAAAAGTATTATTTTAAAATATATTAATTTATTCATGATTAATTAACGAACTAAGAGTGGTAATATGAGCCAACCAACAGATTTCGGGTTAGTCCGTGGCAAGTTAGAGCTAGGCAGTGCAGGTTGATAGGCCCCGTGTGATGGCCAGTTGGCTTTTAGCCAACCCTAACCTGCCATGGTGGGTTGGCAGGTTGGCTTTAAAAAAATTTTCTATTTTTAAATTAAATATTTTTGCTTATACAATATAAAAAAATAAAATGAAATTTTTATCGTTCCTTCAAATACTTGATTGAAAGTATCAAATAAATGATATAGGTATTTTTTAAAATTTTTTAGATAAGATATAAAATATAATAATATAATTATTATAATTTAAAAATTTAAAAAAATACCAAAAAAATATGCAAGCTGGCGGGCAAACCCAGGATAGGTTATGGGTTAGACAGTGAGAGTTAAAAAGTTTCATTTGCTGATTAGTTAAATTTTAGCCAACCATAACCCGTCATATTTGATGGATTAATGGGTCGAACCCATGTTACCAGCTTTAAATCAAACTATTGAATTGTTAAACATTGTCTTAACTGGTTCTATCATAAGGATTTTTTAACTGGCTTATGACATTCACTTTTAATTTATTTTGTTAATTTATACTATAGTTCTAATTTATCATTATGCATACATATGCCTAAAAAAGTTTGGGAAAAAAAAAGTATTGAGAAAAGGACTATTAAATAAATCAGTAATATATCATAAAATTGAAATTATAAAATAAGCATGCTTTATTTTTGCCTGAAGATAAGCGCGTACATTACGAAAATCTTTCATCTCATGATTCTTTCATTTTATTTGTTAAACCACAAAATGTGTACTAACTTCTCAAAATCATAATATACTTATTAGCTGTACTCAATTTTAATACTTTTAAATTTGATTGTTATTTTTGATTCGAAATCAGTTTTTCATATCTTTTTAATCACGTGTCATCTTTCTAATTCAGAATAGTATATAAACGCATATAACTGAAAGTATATTAAGTTCCGTTGGCCCAAAAAAAAAAAAAAGTTAAGTTATTCACGATCAATCCAATCACGCTTCAGCTAATGGCCAATCTGGTTTTTAGCATCTTGATTATACCATTGCACGTCAAAGAAATTAATTCAATCAATGAAGAAAACAATATTTCAGCTTTATAATATTCGTTCAATTTTTACTACAGGAACAGAGCATAAAACCTTTATATTTTTGGTTAAAAACAGGGTAAACTTCGTAAACAAAACTTCAACGTGAAAAAGCGCACACATAAAATCACCCAAAGAAAAAGTTTAGCTCCAACAAAATTTAAGATTTTTTTAATCATAATTTAATTAGAATTATAATATTGCATTCGGCCGAGAAAAAGAATTAGAATCCTGTAACATTATCAGAAGTCAAACACACTACCTAGTCTAACCACAAATACTTCAAGATGATTTGCAACTATATTTATAGATCAATCAATTATAAATAGACATGTCAACAGCCAGCCTAACTTACTCTAGCAGAAACATTGCACCTTTCCACTACTTCAAAAGAGTATCATCCCCAAACTTTTTCTCAAGACAATCTCTATATTACTCGAAGGAAACATCTCACTGACATAATCTTGAGCTTAATTTACTATTTAACAGAAGAAAATTGATGTCGGACCATTATTCCATACAACTGCAATATAATTCCAGCAGCAAAAGGCAAATAACAAAAAAGATAATGGTTGATTAACACAGATAGAATGGATGATACAGAATTAGCTATGAGCGGAGGCTGCAGAATTTCCATTTGCTTTTGTTCCTAAGACTGCGCCACCCTCCGCGTTGGGAAGATCTTCATTTGCATGCCGAACGAACTCCTCGGGTGACATGTGAGAACCATGGCATGCACAAACTATCTTTACTTGGTTAGTGCTGTACCTATAAGTTACACCAGATATAGTCCTACCATTGGGGCCTGAACCTGTGGTAGAAACCCAGGGGAGGTTAGGACAGGAACCGCTCCCGCCAAATGTCAAATTGGCAGCAAGACCAGGCTTAATAGCCGAAAAGTCAATGGAGAAACTTTCTCCTGCTGACTGATCAGGCACGTCTTTTGCCCTGAGGTTTGTGCTGCTTCCTTTCATATCTTCAGCCTGTGATGGGGCGCCTTCTTCAGTCATGAGCTGCTTTCCATCAACTATTGCTCGATCTAGCAGCCTTCCTTCAGACGGCATGGCCTCTGATAAATTATTTGAGATTACATGCATGGCAGCTAGAATGACACAAGAACAGTAAAATGTCATTTGCAAACAGTAAAATAAATCCAGTTCATGACTAGGATCCATGGTGAACAGTAAAATGTCATTTGCAAACAGTAAAATAAATTCAGTTCATGACTAGGATCCATGGTGTTAGCCGGCAAATATATTAAGGCAACCCCCAATTTAACATCAAGTGGGTCAAAAGTCAGATGCATAAAAAACATATCATTGGAGATACACATCACTCGTCCATGTTATCTTATAAGTTTGAATCAAAGTAGTTTATTCAGAGATATCTTCCTTTCATCTCATAAGTCATTTTTACCTGAGTTTGGTGGAGCCCTTCCAGCAAAGGAAGGGTGTAATTGTTGAGGATGTGAAATCAAACTCCACGAGTTCTCTTTATCCAACATTGGAACCTGAACAGAAGAATATCCTAACATCACTGGCAAGTTTCCATTAGTCACAGGTTGGGCTCCTGGGCGTTCACCAGCTGCTGTAGACATCACATGCATCACTCCGGGGATCTGAGGGTTTGGTGCGCCAACAGAGTTAGATTCTTTTACAGGTGGTGGGTAAGGCACATTCATCACATTTACTTGTTGCGGGAAGGAAGCAGCATAATTCAAATTCGAAAGCTTAAAATCTTTTTCTGATGAACCAGTAAATCTCTTTTGTCCACTAACATCAGTAGGACTCAATTCAGAAGCTCCTCGAACTTCTTTTAGAGCATCAGAAGAGCCACCAACTCTGGCAAGTCGTTTGGAACCATCGTCATGGCGTGATACAGACCTAGAGGTTAAGTTCTCAGTTTCAGAATCTGCCACATCTTCATTTTCTGCGGCTGAGCCATCTTCTGTTAGAGAAATGTGTGATGTTCTGGCCTTGTCATGTAGAGCTTCACTTTCATGCTTCTTCTGATGATTTACCTCATCGAACATCATTTTTCTTTTATTTCCCACCTCTAACCGTTTATCTTCCTCAATTTCAACACTTTTATTATTGTTGCCAAGCCAAAGTCCTCTCCCACTTAAATTCACAGAGGCTTCTTCTTCTTTGTCCTTGGAAAGGTCATTAAAGAAGTTCTCCTCCAGTTTTGGGGGATCAGCTCTTTGAGCTCCAGCAGTTAAGTCTTGCTTATGGGAATCAGTCTGAAAAAAGCTTTTGAAATCATCAACCATTTTGCCACCTCTACCAACCTCTTCTGTCCTGCTATCTGAGGAGGCACCATTCTTACTCTTGGGTTTGGCAGATGAACCACCACAAGATAGACCCAGGCTGAGCTCAAGTCCATTCTCATCATCCATATTGTAATACCTAAAGATATTGAAACAGTTCAGACATAATCTCTTCACGAACTGATAATCATATGCATGGTGCCACCCTTCAACAACAAGAAAACATCCTTGAATAACTGCAACCAGTTTGAGATCAAATAGGGAAACCATACCAGTGAGGTCAGTAATGGCTAATATACCAAAAATTATAACATAAACTTGGTTATCATTAAATGCACATAAAATAATTATAACATTACATATCTGTCCCTTTTAAAAAGAAGACAGAAACGGATTTCAATCAGGAAAGAATCAGGTTAAAAAAAAAAAAAAACTGTCTCCACTCTCCAGAAAAATTTCAGTACTTGCAGAATGCGAAATTAACAACCAAGAAAAGACAAAGTACCATCGCATGCTCTAGGAAAGCAAAGAATGACAACAGGTACGAAGGGTGCTTGATGCATGTGCCTTTTGCAACCTTTTCCTTGTGAAAGGCATGCACCATAGGCACCGTACTAATTTGAGGCAATATGCCTCCCAAGCTTAAAAGTATAAAATTAGGAATAAGAGAAAGTAGGAAGCGATAAAACTCAACCATAAAGTCCAGACCAGTAGATGCGTTCAAGAGAATAGGTAAAATAATATCTCTAGCTTTAAAAGGTTATTTAGGATACTAATTATTTAGGCTTTTGACAAAAAAAACAAAAACCCAGGGCATTAGGGACAAATACAGCCATACGGCAGCTAAAGCCCACAACATAACAGAAAGGAAGAAAGAACGTCCAGGGTCGAACTTCAGGAGTTCAAAGACAACTCATACGGTACATCGTTTTCTTCTCCTTCAAGGTACCTCCTACTTCTCCTAAATCGTTTCAGCTGTTGGAACATAGACAGAATAGAGCAAGAAAGAAGAACATGTAGTGTGCAATATCAAGGCTCACAACCCACTCACTACCCCCATCGCATTTTCTTCAAATCGTTTATCTAATTTTTTTCATCATATAGCATGTTTTCTTTTCTTATTTTGGCACCATTCTTTTCTTATGAAGGCCCCTTTCGTTTCAGACAACCTTATACAAGGATTCGCACCAACAAGAAGCAGTAAAGGATGTGGGCTCAGAAGAAATCCGATAATAAACCTCAAGAAATGCTTCTATTGCTGCCCAAAGCTAATTAGGTCAGTGTCTCCTCGCTCCAATTAAATCATGATTAAAAACACGAAAAAACACGATCAAACCTTGAATTTAGTTTACTTAAAGTTCCTCTTTTATCGGGAATCAAGCGAGGAATCCAGATCTAGCTACTCAACAAAATCATGCAAGCAGACTTAGTGAATTAGAAATTTAAATCCCTTGCCCCAAAAACATCAAAACTGAAAGCTCAAAATATATACATGAGCAATCTAAACCGGGAGAAACATGAGCAAGAGAACAAACAGATCACATACGCAACAAGTGAGCAAAACAAGCATATCAGCACGGTTTGGATCCAAGAAAACAATCTGATAAAAAAAAAAATACAAAAACTACCCAAGTCCAAGCACAAAGAGAAAAAGAAAGAGAGATTAACCTGAAGGGAAAGAGAGATGATGATGTTGATCAAACCCTAAGTCAAGTCGTCCTGTGCAGACACAGAACTGAGGAAGGAGGATGAGCACTGAGACGGAGGAGAGAGAAATGGCCGAACAATACAAAGATTTACTCAATTTATTTGTTTAAACAGTACTGCCTCCGGTTCTAGTGATTGACGTAAATATCAATTCATTAATTTGAATAAGTTAAAAAAATATATTAAATTAGTTATTTATAATAAATAAGTATTATTTTTTATAAAATATTTTTATTAATTAAATTTATTAGTTAAAAATATTATTATTGGAAAGACTATTTTAAAAACAATATATCAATATCAGACACAAAATAAATTAAAATCTTATATTAAAATTAAAATAAAAATCAAACGATATATTATATTAAATCCAGGAGATAATATAATTTAATTTGTCTAATTACCTCACTTAAAAAATTCTTTCCAGTCCTAGCATGTGCTTCTCACTTAAAAAATTCTTTCCAGTCCTGGCATGTGCTTCTCGTGGAGAAGCTCATCTTATGTATATGTTGTTATTCTCATTTATTTGTTCAACGGTAAAAAATTTATTTTATTTTCAAACCAAAAATAACTATTAATTTTGTTAATAACCATTTGATGCCCAATGATAATATTATCTCCTGTGCTTAATATAAGAGTTATTTGATTAATTTGGATAAATTAAAGAAACTAATTAAATTAGTTATCTGTATTAAATAGATATTATCTTTTCTAAAATATCATTGTTAATCAGGTATATTAACTAGAACTATTATTATTACAAATATTATTTTAGAAAAAATAGATAAATATAAAAAACAAAATAAATTGAGATATTATATTTAGGATCAAAATAAAAATCAAACCAATTTTTATATTATGAATGAGAGACCAGTACTTTGAAACCAAGTATTCTAGTGTGTCTCAGTTTTAAAAAAATTCCAAATAAATACCTCTAATATTTTGAAAAGCATAAGTTCCAGACCAGTAATTTGGGGGTGTTTGGCAACCTCCAAACTATGGTTTCAAAAGCATTTTTCTGCAAAACGAGGCAACTTCCTCAACATATTTACTTCGTAAACTGTAAAAGCACTTCTAAAACCATAATTTGGTTTCTATCCAAACACCCCCAAAGGATTGCCAAAACTTCAGCTTCAAGGATCGCTCGGAATGGTTTCATGCAAGATGGGCTTATAGGCCAACCATGTGGGCTTAGCCCAGCATGGTTGGCACTTATTGGCTTCCTTAAGGATTTGTTTGGTTGGAGGGAAGAATGGAGGAGGAGAGGAAAAATGAGCCCCTCCTCTTATTTGGTTAAAAATTTTGGAGAGAAAGAAAATCAAAATGTTCCCTCCCCTCCCCTCCCTCTCCCCATTTTAGTTCTCCCTCAAATAGGGAGTTTTTGGAGGGGAGCTAAATTTTTGGACCATTATATCCTTATGGTTTTTTTAATATTCCACTATTACCCATAATAAATATTATTATAATATTTATTTCAAATAAAAAATATATTATCCTAAGTAAAAAATAAAAATAAAAATTATTATAATTAAAAATATATTATAACAAAAATTAATTAAAAATAAAAAATTATTTAAATAAAAAATATAATACTATAAAATTAATTTTTTTATAAATATATTATTTATTAAATATATTTTAAAGCTGAAAAAAAGGATAGCCTAAAGAGAATAAAATTTCATTTTTCTTAGAGCATATAAAATTTGTTAATTTGATTATTTCAAATATATTATTATATTAATTAGAATAAAAAATTACTGCGTCAATTTTTTAATGCACATATTAACATGATAAGACTGAATTTTTATTAAATTATATAATTTAAATTAAGATGTAAATTAATTTATATAATATATCAATAAAAATATAAACTAATATGTAAGGGTAAAATGGTAAATTGATTATTACTATCCCTCCCCTTCTCTTCTTGAACCAAACAAAAGATCATTAAATATCCTTCCCTCCCTTTTTAATCAAACCAAATAAGGTGAAGATAAAACCTCCCATTCCCTTCTTTACCTCACCCTCCCCTGCCCTCCCATCAAACCAAACAAGCCCTAAACATTTAAACAAGAGTTTGACACCTTATAGTGTGTATAGAGATGATTTCATAACAAATACTAAAGTCTCATTTGAAAAGTTTACAGCACGAGAGAATTAGTCACTGGTAAATATCTTAGCTTCAACCAAAAAAAAAATGATGGGCCTATAGACTAAATTTTCAAAAAGTTATGAAGACTAAGGGGGCACCCAAACTATGATTTGGGTAAAAAATTGCCCAAACACCCATCCTAAATCAATAACCATGGTTTTGACCTAAAAATCATGATTTTGTCAAAAGTGTTTTGAATCCGTTTGTGCAAAAAATGGAAGTGTCAGCTGGTTTGCTAACGGATATGACACATATACCCTCAATTATTCATTTCTTTCATTCTCTTCCACCTTCGGTCCCTCGCTCTCCATTCCAAATGGCTAGTTTCTTTCTTTTATGCTTTGCTTTGCCTTGCTCTCTCTCCCTCTCTCTCTCACTGCTCTCTCTCTTCACAGGCAAGGGACGTTTAGCAGAAGTGAGGAGACACGCTAACTGCCTGTTTTATGCTTCTAAATTCATTTTTGTTACATAAATAAATAAATTTAATGGCCAATTCTCTTATCTTATAATATATATATTCACCAATCAGTCATTTTTCTCAACTCTGATGTGGCCTTGTTTCTAATATCTTTAATCTTATATTTTATAAATGTTTTTACACATGTAGTAACAATTAATTAATTAATTAATTATATTAAAGATAAGAGGTAGTATGTTGTTATAAAAACTAGTTGTGAAAAAATGTTATAGAATTTCATGTTTAAAATCTTTAAAGCAAATTAATATTTTTATGTTAGAAAAAAAAGTAATCATTTTTCTATAAACATATTTAAACTTATAACTTATAAATATATATACATATATTAATTATTTATTAATTATATTATCGTATATATTATTAATTGTGTTAGTAAAAATTATTTTATTAACAATTTTATTCCTTGAAATTAAAATATATTATAAAATCTATCATTTATATAATTATCATATTAACTTACACCCTTTTTAGTAATTTGTACATATAAAAAGTGTAAAATCTATCATTTATATAATTATCATATTAACTTACACCCTTTTTAGTAATTTGTACATATAAAAAGTGCTTTTGATAATAACTATCCAAACATTCTCATTTTATCAGAATCACTTTTTCACAAAATCTATTCTTCACAAACCACGGTTTTCCAAGAATCTATTTTCTAAAAGCTATTCTCCAAACCATGGTTTGGTTTCATCCAAACACCCCCTAAAACCAACTATTTGAAAATATATGAACTAAAACTAAAATTTGATTAAATTACAAAGACTAAAAATAGAATTAACCCTTTCTCAAATTAAAAGGAGGATGGAAAACCACTGAAATAAACTCTAAAAACCTAAAATAAATTAGTTATTGTTACTAGAAGTCTACAATATGAGTAGATTAGTCACTGTTATTGATGACAGATTTCTCGGCTTCAGTCAAAAAAGAAAAAACGGGCCTATAAACCAAATTTTTATGAAATTACGAAGACTAAAACCAACTATTTGGAAATATATAAACGAAAACTAAAATTTAATTAAATTATAAGAACTAACAATAGTATTAACCTTCTCTCAAATTAAAAGAAGGATGGAAAATCGTCGAAATAAACTCTAAAAACTTGAAATAAAACAGGATGAAAATATAGGGACCTGGTATATATTTTCTCTCTATTAGTTTTCTTTGCACTCCAAATAATTTTTATGATTAAGAATTATTTTTTAAAAATATATTGTTCAAAATATATTAATTTCTTGATAATAGTCGATCAACGGTCATGAACCAATGTGTGGACAAGAATGCATCCATAGTTTTCATTTGAAGATTAAAAGAGAAAAGAAAAAGGAAGATGATGATCTGTTGCCAACTTTAGCTGGCAAGGAAGGAGGATGCAATAAGGTGTAATTAGATGACGCGATTCAAACCCTGCATTAAAAAAATAATGATCCTTTATGGTTGAATTTTATATATATATATATATATGAAATATTTAAAAAGGAAACCTTTTTCAAACCTATAAATAAACGGAGACTTGGTAAAGATAAAAACACATATATTATACTACTCCGATCCTATTAGTAGGGTAGCAAGAAATTTTTTTTTAATAGTATAATCACCTCATTAAAATTATTATATGAATATATAACATTATCTATAATTTATTGTTCTGTAGGCCATTGTTTTCTTGAAAAATATATATTGAATAGCAGTAAAATTGAAAAGTTATTATATTTTAAAATAAATTTAATAAAATTTAAAATTTTTCCCAATTCTAATTAAACATATTAAAAATACTTTATAAATAAGATCAGCGTAACATGCCCTCTTACATAATGGGGTTTAGCCACAAATTAGAATCAATTGGATTTGGGCTTTAATACCTCTCTTCACATTCCTTGAACATAGAACAGCCTTGGGCTTTCATTTGACACAATGTTCTTAGCCTATTTGAGTCTTTAGCACTCAATCCATCCAATAAACCCCACAACACGTCGCCTCATTGGGGAATTTGAACTTGCATATTGTGATTAGCCCAATTAGTAAGATAGCTTCCCAAGATAGTGACTAATGAGTATTGAGCCTAACAGAAAGAGTTAGTCCCTAATAATATGATGAACTAAGGTTTGAATTCCTATCGGGAGAGGTATCCATATTTAGTGCCCGATGACGACAGTGCCTCAAATAGGATTACCACCAATAGAAGGATACCTATGCTTAGACCAAAAAAAAAAAAGATTATCTCAAATAAAAAAATACATATACTCACCCAAAAAAAATTGTATTTCAAATATGATTATTTTTAATAGAAAGATACATATGTTTAGGGGAAAAAATATCATTAAAAGGTTTTTTTCCCCAAATCATTGATAGGTTTGAAAGTTCAAAGATAAAACAATCTTAACGAAAAGTAACTCGAATTTAACTTAATATAAGTCACATAAACATAATATTATC